AAAAAATTAAAAAATAAAAAAACACATCATAGTAAAATTAATACCTTCTCAGCTTCGCATCGAAGCTAAAAAAACATACTAAATTCAATCGCGTCTGTTTACTGCCCACCTGATCAAAACATAAGCTCTAATTATTTTAACAGATTTTTTTCAACGTTAGGTCATTCATTTATTGCTGGAGGCGACTATAACGCTAAGGACAATCTTTGGGGAAGTAGAGCCTCCAATCATAGAGAAAACACCCTTCATACATTATTAATGAATAATAATTTTTCATACATATCATCTAAAGAACCAATCTACTGACTAACACATACTACAAGGTTACCAGAAATACTAGATTTTTTCGTTCTAAAACAATTTTAGCCTCATACGTAGACGATACAGCAGTATTATCAATTAATAGTGATCCTAACGCAGCCAGTCTTTCACTTCAATATCATGCCAACCTTATTGACTTGTGGGCAAAAAAATGGCGAGTAAAAATCAACGAAGATAAATCTGCTCAAATCACCTTCACTCTAAATTTCAAACCACAAGAATGTCCTCAAATTATTATGAATAATATTTCTTTACCAATAAAAGAAGAGATCAAGTATTTAGGAATTACGCTTGACAAACGACTGACGTGGGACCCTCATCTAAAAGAAAAAGTACAACAGACTACATCGTCTACGTCCTCTCCTCATTTCAAAACTTAAACTTAAAACAAAACTATTAAACGCCAATTTGGTCTTATGGTATCCAAATCTGGGGTCCAGCCAAACCATCGAACATAAAGCCAATACAATTGTTTCAATCAATAGCACTCCGACTTATAACTAAATCTCCATGGTATNAATTGTTTCAATCAATAGCACTCCGACTTATAACTAAATCTCCATGGTATATAACAAACATAAATTTACATAAAAATCTACAAATTCAAAATGTAAACAAACTTGCAGTAATGTATAACAAGCAATTTCATCAAAATTNGTTATATACCATTATGTTTGTTATAAACATAAATTTACATAAAAATCTACAAATTCAAAATGTAAACAAACTTGCAGTAATGTATAACAAGCAATTTCATCAAAATTTATTATCACATGGAAACCCACTAATTAATAAAATATCAACAAACACTATACCTTCAAATCCTCCTCGCAGACTAAAACGGCTATGGAATAAAGATCTTATAAATAACTAATAACTAACTACTATTCGTCAATAAAATAATTAAAGAACATGCTAGAGGTGTGATTAACGAGTCATCTCCTCATCATTTACAATTCATATCATTCTTAGTATTAATTTTATAAACATCAAATTTACTTATTGTACCAATTTGTAGTACAGATTGTAAATATTCAAAGTAAATAAAAAAAAAATATGTTTTCTTCATAATTACTTAGTATTTATGGTAATTTTAATATTTCTATTTTTGTTTAAATTTGTATAGTTTCGTTTTATTACCTATATTTACGTTAAAATGCGTATATTTTTGTGGAAAAAAGTATATTTTTGTTAAAATACGTATTATTTCTCTTAAATATGTATAGTTCGTTACTTTTTGTTGTTTTATTATTTTGTTTATTATACTTTTTAATACGTTTATTTTTCTTTAATTATTCAATTATTTTCGTTTACATTTTGTGTATTCTTTATTTATATATTTATATTTTTAAATATTTTGTCTGATGATTACTGAACGGTTATTTTTGTAATACGAATAATATTCGTCGAATATGTAACAAAATATCTATTTACACCGGTCCAAACCATTATTATGATTGAAAACGGTATAACCTTGGAAACATAAATAGATAACTCAAATCGCTTCTACGAATATATAATACAGAGCAATGATCTTTTTAATTTTTTAGTTAACTCTGTTCAGGACTACATCTAGAGGTTACTGATTGCACATACCCCGGGCGACAGGTTATAAGGGCGTCACTGAAATATGAAGCATTATGAACAATAGAGATCATTAGAAAAAAAATATATATATATATGGATGAATTATAAATATAGGAAATAATTTTCGATGAATAAAATAAAAAGAATCATTGAGTATGGCAGGATGAATTATTTGGGAATTGTGCCGATTGCTAAACATAGTTAGACTCTGTAAAATAAAATAACTTATCAAATGAAAAAAAATAACAAGAGTTCAAAAAATATTTTCTTTATTTTTTTAAATATAAATAAATTGGAAGTGGTACAATTTTTATCACAAAAATATTTTAAATGTTGTATTTATAAAATATATCCAATATCTGAAAATTATAAAAATTAATTTTAAATATTAATATATGACTTTAGTACTATGCATTACACAGTTTAACTAGAATTTTTAATGAAAAACTAACACAATCGCTATATTTATTTTTTAACTTTGGTAAAAATTGTTTTGATAATTAATATATAGAATCTATCATTAAATAATTTCATATTGTCGATGAGCAACCAATACTAGCTGTAACTAAAGAAATAATAATTTTTGTAATATGTAGAGGTATACTCTAAGAGAAGAACAAGGTCAATACTTTGAATAATAGGAACCTTAAACAATATTAAAATATCAATGACAAAATTAAAGTTAAAACAAAAAATACGTAACCTATATTAATGTGTTTTAAAATTTAAGTGAAAAACATATATAAGAATTTAACTGGGTATCTTTTTTTTATCATCTCTGATATAAACATATAGAGTACTGTTGTTATGTAAGATACTTTAAAATGGTACTAATGAAACACTTGAATGTTATTTTATTAATTAAAAATGAGTTTAAAAACTAAAGGCTGAATTAAACCATTAAATAAATAAATAATTCAGAATCATTTCTTTGACACTATGGTGTCAACCCTAGGTTTTAGTGTAAAGAACTATATTAACATTAAATAAAATGTCAAAATAGTTTGTATACTATTTATCTGTAATAATTTATATAATTTATGCTTACTAAAGAAAAACATTAAAAAAATGAGACAATGATGATTTTTGGGAATACAAAATATTATATAAGGCAGAGCAATCCCTTACAGTCTGATTTGTTTTAATCACATACCTAAGAAGCTATGTAAAAATCACAATCATCTTTGTGCGAACTCTTACATGCTGAAATTGTGAAGTAAAAATCAAATTTATCAATTATCACTTAATACTGTCTCTGAAATTATTCTAAGAACAAAGAAAAATTATCAGGCAAAATTTCAAAATAATAATAGTTAATACTTATATTATTTTATGACCCTTTCTATTTTCTTATTTTAATATTTTATAATTTAGTTAATTAAGAAAGTGTTTTAACTATTTCTTAATTTTAAAATTTTGAGTTATGATAATACACCACCATACTGTAGGATACAACATACCCGGGAACAATAGTATTTTAAAAGAGGTGTTGATCTAAATCACAAAAAAAAAAGGGATTACAAAGCAGTAGTGATTTTGATATATAATCTAGGACTGAGGGAAAGGAGTGAATTAAAATCCAAGGTTATAAATGAAGGAAACAGTTTAGAGAGAAACACCTGCTGAATCACATAATTCATATAGAGAGATATAGAGGAGTAGTTAAATCTTTACTTAAATTATTTACAATTAAAGGTGTATAGACTGACAAAAAATTACCCTACACCACATATTGATTATTTATTTTGAAGGAGGAAATAATCAATGAAATTATGGATACTCATATAAAAAATAATATCATCAGAAAATATTAATATTTTATAATTCTTTAGAATTGAAAGAGCACTATTTATAAGGAGTAAAAATAATAAAGGGGATAAAATAGCACCTTGAGAGATTCCTAATTTTCGAGTAGAAACTTTAGAGAGGAAACATCAAATGGAAACTCATAGTTCTTTATCACTAAAATATAGTTTAAGTCATGATAGGAAAGGTTCACTAGAACAAATATCAAAGAGAATAGAAAAAAGGATAGAATGATCAACTCGATCAAAGATTTTAGAATAGTCAATGTAAATGACAGAAATATTAATGAATATAAGAACTTAAAATCTTGTTACACATTGGATCGACCAGAACGAGTTGTTTATAAACTAAAATATGGTTAACAGAAAATTTTATGGATTTATAAACCAAGTATTCAAAGATCTTGGACAAATGGAGATCTTTACATTAGGATGATAATTTTCAACTTTTAAAGGATCAATGGATTTTAATAAAGGTGTTGAAAGTATAAGGGAAAAAGAAATATTCCATCATCAAAATATTTATGGAAGAGGTGGTAAACTTGGAGGACAGGGATATCTTATACGAGAAATAGAGAGGTAAATTAAACCGTTTATTAATCCCAGAAAGTTTCTTAAGATTTTAATCACCTATTAAAATAAATATATGATTAGGATACTGGTAACTTTTACAGCCTAAGAAACATAAGGTTCATAAGCAGATAGGAGCAAAATATATAATTATATGTTTTTATTTGAAACAATCATAAATATCATTGAATTAAGTTATCATTAGTAAAATAGAAGTTAAAATATGCAGAACATACCAAACAATAAAGGGAAACATAAATATTCCATTATTTGAATTTAATAAACATACTTTCAATTTTATTTTTAAAAATAAAAAATGTAATGAATGTTAGTTAGAAGTTAGAAAATACATACATTATTCTATTGACAAGAGCACTCGTATAAAATAAATAAATAGGTTTACTAATTCTGTATTCTTCAAATTAATTTTCATGTGTTATATATACTTATCTTAAAATAACATGGCAGCCTTATGTATTTTTTATATACATGATAAAATGCAAACTTTAAATTTTAATTGACTTAAGAAATACATACCAAACTCTCACAGTGATAATATAGTAAATTTAATCTAAAAAAAAAAAAAAAAAAA